CCAGCAGGGCGGGAGGAGGAGAAGAGACGTCTCTGATCCCTCAAGGCGCGGGAAATCTGCGCAAAGATACATGTCAGTAAAATCCTGGAGAGAGGGTGGCGTCCTAACGCGCGCTCCAAATCTGGAGTCGAGTCGGACAGACATCGGATAGAGAACAAACCTTAGATGCGGGAGCCAGGCTCCGCCAGCTCAAGGAGCTCATGATGACGGATTAGAAGAAAAGAGACACTTCTCTAACAAATCCGGAAAAGGAGGGGAGATGGGGAAAGGATCCAACAGCACAAGTACTGGGGGAGAGAAAGTCGGGGTTCAAGGCTGGTGGTTTGCATGCGAGCTGCACTTTTGGATCGTCGGTTCTGCTGGAAGAGCGAGGAAGGCCCGGCTGACATAAGCATTTTGCACTTGCCGACGGGGAGGACCGGGGCCGAACAAGCCAATCAACATTTGTGGAGTGGTAATCACCTCGGGCAGTCAGTCTGCGTTCATTGGCCGAAATCTGCTGGGCACGTGGTCCGGCCCTCTTCTCACCCGGCAAAGCGCGAGACTTTCCGGAGCAAGACGGCCGATTCCTGCCAGTTGACAGCCTGATTCTCTGCTGTACTTTCGGCATGAGCCTGAGCAGTGAGCTGGAGCAGGAGCCGAGCCTGGCTCCAGGCTTGAGTTTCTCCTCACTGCACTGAGACCGGAAACTAATTAAGCTTACTACTACCGATCTAGGTATAAGCAGTTGACCTAGCTTGTAACCCTTGCTAATTGCCGCCGCTCCGGCAGCATCACCCAGAACTTGACATTGACATCATACAACAGACTACCGAGTAAATGATCATACACATCCATTGCGTTTGTAATGTAATTCAAATACCTAAGAGTCGTCTAATTATACTGCATGTACGTCGCCGTCGAGTTGAACTTCAGGTTGCCCTTGATCACCTTGTCCACCGCAGCCAAGAAGTCCTTCTCAGTTGCCACCTTCCGACGCGCCCGAATGGCGAACATGCCCGCCTCTGTCGCGACACTCCGAAGCTCAGCACCCGTGGCGTTCGGGCATAGACGAGAGATCAACTCCCACCGGATGTCACGCTCGACCGACATGCTCTTGGCGTGAATGCGCAGAATGTTGGCGCGGCCCTCAACATCCGGAAGGGAGAACTCGATCTTACGATCGATACGTCCCGGGCGCATCAGGGCAGGATCCAGAGTTGACGGCCGGTTGGTCGCGAACATGACCTTGATGTTACCACGGGCATCGAATCCGTCCAGCTGTGTAATCAGTTCCAGCATAGTACGCTGAACCTCGTTATCACCACCAGCTCCGTCGTCGAAACGAGCACCACCGACCGCGTCGATTTCATCGAAGAAGATAATGCATGCTTTCTTAGTCCGCGCCATCTCAAACAGCTCTCGAACCATCCGTGCACCCTCACCAACGTACTTCTGTACCAACTCACTACCGATGACACGGATGAATGTCGCGTCCGTCCGGTTGGCCACGGCTCGAGCGCAAAGCGTCTTACCCGTACCGGGAGGTCCGTAGAGCAGAGCACCCTTAGGAGGGTCGATACCGAGGTTGACAAAGCGCTCCGGCGAAAGTAGGGGCATTTCGACAACTTCCCGCAGCTTCTCAATCTGTTCTTTGCATCCACCAACATCACCGTACGTCACATCGGGCTTGTCTTCGACTGTCATCATCGTCACACTCGGGTCGATCTTAGGGGGAAGAGGCAGCATAATCTGGTACTTGTTGCGGTCGACACTGTATCACGGTTAGATCTGAACGGGGCGGCAAAAAGACCACGGCAACATACCCAACTCTCATGCCCTCCTCAATATCTGTCGGACTCACGCGCTCTCCCAAGTTGACGACGAATTTGGCGATCTGTTTAACGTTGATGACGTATTTACTCTTGTCTGAATCCTTCTCATCCTGAATAATCTTCGTGCACCGAGCTACCTGCAATGGCTGCTCCTCCGCCATACGTTGTCGGTCTGCAGCAACATCCCAGAGATGTGGAGGCGCAAGGCCGGTATCGGATTCCTATGCAGGTCAGCAAGGACAACTCCAGTCAAAGGCCGAACCGGAATATACCTTAACACCAATCTTCTCGTTCACACTTGCTTGTCTCTCCTTGATCTGTTTCTCGAGCTTCTTCAATGCGTTGGCGTAGGGAGCAGCGCCGTAGGTCTTTAGTACTTGGATATCCCTAGTTCCAGTTAGCCATCGAGACGGGAAAGTCGGCAAAGTTGTAGCATCCGGTCCACCTACTCATCTGTGAGAGGAGTGATCTTCTTCTCCGGCTCTTCGTCATCGGCGAAGTTCTTCTGGTACTTCTCCCAGTTCTGGCCCGTAGCGCTAGGCATGCTGATGATGTGAGCCGGTGGCGAGGCGACAGGACAGCGTGGAGGGGTGTGAGCGGTTAAATCGGAGGCCTAATTTTGCGTATAGGAACACAGGATAGTAGCGGATGTTGACGGAGTTGAGAAAAGGGATGTAATGAGGAGGATGGAGCTTGAACGGGGGATGGTAAGAGTGATGTGGTGGTCGAGCTCAGCTTGAATGCGGTTCGAGCTGTTGACGCTAGTGGCCCGCCAAGCCCAGCAGCAACACCGCCCAAAACCGCAACACCGCAGAATTTCCCAGTGCCGCCTCCAGGTTCTGGATCTCCCTCGCCTCGCTCCACCCTCCTCTTACTTGACTCTATCTCTTTTCTCTACGGTGCTTATATCGTAGTTATCTTCACCATGGCGACGACAGCCTCCCAGGGTGCCCCTGGCAACACGACTTTCAAGGTGCGTCTTCTTGCGGAGAGAAATACCTATGGACCGTTCTCTAATCGCCGAACAGGACAAGGAGAAGCCTATGGCCGTTCGCACAGCCAACATTTTGGCTGCTAGAGGTATGCATCCCTGATCGGTACTACCTGAACGCAATTGCTGACGGAAGAATAGCTGTCTCCGATGCCATCAGAACTGTACGCTTGCCTTGACCGGAATTTGACAGATGAGGGGCTAACACGATATGCAGTCTCTGGGTCCCAGGGGTATGGATAAGATGGTAAGAAGGATGGAATCAATTCACAACGACAAAAAGCTAATGTAGCTTTAGATTCAAACGCCCAAAGGAAACACCATTATCGTACGAAGACTACCTCGAATACTCCCAGATCACCCCCACTAACCCCTCCTTAGACCAACGACGGAAACACAATGCTGAGGGACATGAGCGTCATGCACCCTGCCGCCAGAATGCTGGTCGACCTCAGTGCCGCTCAGGATGTCGAAGCCGGTGATGGAACTACATCGGTTGTCGTCATTGCAGGAAGCTTGCTCGGTGCTGCGGAGCGCCTGCTGGCTAAGGGTATCCATCCCACCGTCATCTCGGAGTCCTTCCAAAGAGCCGCCGCCGCCGCCGTCGAGATTCTCCACAACATGTCCCGGCCCATCAACCTCACAGACCGCTCAACTCTCCTCCAGGCGGCTTCCACCTCTCTCTCCTCCAAGATTGTGTCTCAGCACTCCGGCCTCCTCGGCCCCATGGCCGTCGATTCCGTTCTGAAGGTCGTCGACCCCAAGACGGCAGAGAACGTCGATCTCCGGAACATTCGCATAGTGAAAAAGGTTGGCGGAACAATTGAGGACAGTGAGATGGTTGACGGTCTGGTCCTGAACCAGCAAGTCATCAAGAGCAGCGGTGGTCCCACCAGAATTGAGAAGGCCCGGATAGGTCTTATTCAGTTCCAGCTCAGCCCCCCCAAGCCTGACGTACGTGACCCCTTACACCTGCACTAATGGGGAGTGCTGACAGCTATCTCGCAGATGGAGAACCAGATTGTCGTGAACGACTACCGCCAGATGGACAAGATCCTCAAGGAAGAGCGCCAATACCTTCTCAACATGGTTAAGAAGATCCAGAAGACGAAGTGCAATGTTCTTTTGATCCAGAAGTCGATCCTCCGTGACGCCGTCAATGACCTTTCCCTTCACTTCCTTTCCCGCCTCAAAATTTTGGCCATCAAGGATATCGAGCGTGATGAGGTTGAGTTCTTGTGCAAGACTTTGGGTTGCAAGCCCGTCGCCAACGTTGACTCTTTCACTGAGGACAAGCTCGGTACTGCTGATCTTGTCGAGGAGGTTCAGCAGTCTGGTGCTCGGTACGTGAAGATTACTGGCATCAAGGCCCCTGCTACCGCCGCCAACCAGACCGTCTCCATCGTGGCTCGTGGCGCCAACAACCTCATCCTGGATGAGGCGGAGCGCTCTCTGCACGATGCCCTCTGTGTCATCCGCTGTCTGGTGAAGAAGCGTGCTCTCATTGCCGGTGGTGGTGCCCCTGAGATCGAAGTGGCCCACTCTCTGGCCATGCGTGCCCGTGAGCTCACTGGCACCGAGGCTATCTGCTGGAAGGCTTTTGCCGAAGCCATGGAGGTTATCCCCACCACCCTGGCCGAGAATGCCGGTCTGAACTCGATCAAGGTGGTCACCGACCTGCGTCATCGCCACGCTCAAGGCCAGCACAATGCCGGAGTCAGCATTCGCAGCGGTGGTGTCAAGGACGAGATCACCGAGGAGAACATTCTTCAGCCCCTCTTGGTAAGCACCAGCGCAATTGAGCTGGCTGCCGAGACGGTGAAGATGATCATGCGTATTGATGACATTGCCTTGTCGCGGTAAACGGGGACAGGCGGTAGTAGAAATGGAAATAATATAGGTCCAAAGTGGTGTATTATGACGAGTAATCCAACAAAAATCTACGATGTTCATATTTTCAAATTTGCATGCTTCGCGACTGACGATGTCATGTTATGTATGTCGGCGTAGCCGATAATGCGGCCGCGGCCACATGATCCCGCGTTTCATCAAGCCAGTCACATGTAGATAGCTAGCTATCGACAAACAACAACCACCAGAAATCTAAGGAATCGCTCCATATTGCCTATCTTGAGCTTCATCAAATCGCTACAATAAACATGGTAGTGCTGCCATGTGATCCAGCCAGGTAGTGATCACAACTTGGACCGTCTCTCGATGATTCGGTTGGCCGCCGAACCGATCATCTCCTTCCACTCGTTGGAATACATTGACTTCTCTCTTGCAGGTAATTCATCCCACCCCTGTGCGATGCGCTGCTCATCCTCCTTCCACCGCCGTACCTCCTGCTGAATCCACGGCCCAAGAGCATCTGCCGTAGCCGTCACTTTCTCCAAAGGAAGAGTATGTGCCGCCTTCGGAACTAAGTGATGCCTCACTCGACCATACTCCATGCCACCACTCCCTCCGAACCCAGTCCCCACCTTCTTGGCAATCCGCTCATGAATCCCCAGCTTGCACAGTGGACTCTCAGCTCCACTCAAGAAAAGGACCGATGGTCGTAGGTGCGGCACCAACCTCCCCGCCAGGACCGGCTCCGGCCGGTAGGAGTTCTGCTCCGGCACCAGCGCCCCCAGCACGTCGGGGAAGAGTAGCGGGTCGTGCGGCGGACTAGGCGCTTCGTGCTCGTGCTTCTGATTCAGCTCATCGGGCAAGCCCAGCTCTCTGTATCGACGAGGGTTGGCCCGCGTGTACATCAGCGCCTCTTGGTACTTGGTCGTTGCCAAGGTCACAGCCGGCCCTGCATCTGGCGACGACGATGATGATGATTGTGTCGCATCTTCCTGTGGGTATACAGCTGACGGGAGTTCGCGGTATGCGAACCGAGCCCAGCGATCCAGCACCCGCGGGTCCCAGGATCGAAGGGCCTTGCGTGACTTGTCTACGGCGACGGCACGGGAAGGCCAGACATCTCGCTTGTTGATGGTTAGGCGGAGGAGAAGAGGGCCGCTCCCTTGAAGCGTGCGCTCGACGAAATATGGCTCGACGAGCATGAGGGATGAGAACAGTCGGGGATGGATCAGTGATAGAAAGATCCTGCGGACAGTCAGTGACTTCACTTGCTCACTGGCTCGCGTTCATCGAGGAGGGAGTGAGGGTAACCGACATTTGAGCTGCACCCACACTGTGCCCGAGACCCATGATGGGTCGGGGCATCTGGTCGCGAAACTGGTTGATCATCAAGAGAAGATCGCGGCTGTGATCAAGCCATGATGCTGTTGCTGTTAGCTTTGAATCTTCCAGAAGGGGGGCGTCGTGAGCTGGGGCTTACGGTCATTGCCCAAGTGATTCTCATTGAGGATACCGCTAGCACCCTGGTTGGCGCTATCAGCGATCCAGATCGCGCGAATTCGGAATCCCACTTTCTTGCTTCTGGCGTGGAGATCTTCCCAGAGCGGCTCGTATAGTTCCTGGGCGATAATGAGTGCGAGGCGTAAGGCTGGCTGGCTATGGTTCTTTCCACCTACCTTTGCGAACGCCGTGCCATGTGCAGCAACGATAGTGACATCGCCCGGCTCGGGATGGGGGTTATCGATGGGCGTATACTTCTTCACGCAAAGCTTCAGAGGGGCATCCTGCGTGGTCGTGGCCCGGGGATACTCTCGAATATATTGACTATCGATAACATGTTCCGTCACGGTATAGGGGAACGCCATCTCGAGATGCTGGACTACTGAGTCACAGGGAGAACTTCAATATTGTGCGTTCGTAGCGAGACTCTATCATCTGGGAGTCTTGCTTTCTACAGACTTTTGTTGTGGAAAGTGCAGGCGCATTGCGTGGCATAGCCTAAGACACGGCTCATGGCCGGTCCACCGTGGCGATTGTCAGCATCGAGAGTGGAAGAAATGATCTCACAAAAAGACACACATCAGGAGCAAACAATTGCTAAAAGCAGTAATTGCGTGGCGCCGATCATCTCGTGGATCCAATTGATCTCATTGCGAACTCATCCAGAGATCTGTCCGCGCCGATCATCTTGGCGATCGAGTCAGTTTCCACCGCACTTGACTTGATACACTACACCCATCTTGCAGCACTGACAAGCTGGCAACAATTCGATGAGATGGAATTCCCTTCCGGAAAAGAGGTGGTAAGTGCAGGATAATTGCATAGTTATAAGCAGTGACTATTACTCATTCACAATAGCCTTTTTGGCTGTCATCGAGAGATGTGACGCAAAGGAGACGCTTGCTACCCCGTCACGGACAATGGCCGCGGGTGATCCATCGACTCCACAGCGCATGACGAAGGGTCTTTTCGATCCGACCTTGAACAAATGAGGGGTGTATATACCTTATCATCAAAGAGAGAAAGAGCCGGATCTTATGCGTGGGGCTCTTCGGCGGATCTCGAACCTCCCTTCCACGCAGATCATTGCAGCGATGGAAGACAAGAGACTTCCACACTGGCTCAATATATCTGGCCGAACCCACATACACGGGTCACCAAACGCCATGTCAACTGCATCATGTCCTGCACCGTCATTGGGTCAGTGCGAGGGGATAAATCAGTTCTCTTCTCGTGGAGTGCCGCTGTTGTAGAATAATAGTTTGTCCGCACCGCCATCGACCCCAGGATTGAACAAACCAGGACATCCATCAGCCAAGAGAACAAGAGAGACAGATTCAGGATGAGCTTACATCTATTTGCAGCTGCGACTGTGACATGTCTTGTCTACGTGCGTCACTTTCAAGCCCGCCGCAGCTCAACAAACACAAGCTAACCAGCTCAGGGTTGTGCTTTGGCATTATACCGGCTCTTCCTCCATCCTCTATCCAGATACCCCGGTCCCCGACTAGCTATCTTGACAGACTGGTATGTGCTATATTATGCCTGGCGAGGCGACCTACACAAACAAGTACAACAATGGCATGCAAAATATGGTGAGTCTGTTTGCCTGACGTGTCTGGCCGAAAGCTGACTTTCTCACAGGGAAGGTCGTCCGCTATGGGCCTTCAACCCTCAGCTTCAACTCGGCCACGGCTATGACTGAGATCTATGGCGTCCGGGCCAACGTTCGCAAGACAGACGGATATGCTGCGCTGGGCCTCAGTCGTCGCTGTCCGAATAGCTTAGTTGCCATAGACAAGGGGTTGCACGGCTTCAAGCGACGGATCATGGCCCAGGTATTTTCCGAGCAGAACCTGAAGCAGATGGAGGAGCGCATCCTGGACAATGTCACGGACTTGGTTTCGCTGCTGGGATCGGATTCCGAGGCCTCGCGGGGATGGGGTCCGCCCAAGGATGTCGCGCAGGCGTGCACCTGGATGACCTTCGACATCATTGCTGACCTCTGCTACGGGGAGGATCTCAACCTGCTGCAGGTGGAAGACATGCGATGGTTTCCCTCTGTATTCCGCAAGATCAGCCAACGAGGCATGATGGTGAGTAGCAGCAACGACAAACAAGCAACAAAGAAGCAATACTAATCACCCTTCGCAAAAAAAGAGCCTCATTCAGCCCAGATTCATCCAAATGAAGCTCGACCACTTCCTCCTCGCCTCTCAGTACAAAGCCATCCTCCGTGCGGGCAGCTGGATCCGCGAACGCGGCGAAGCCCGCGCCAAACTAGGCAACAAGAACATCGAGAAGGACATCTTCAGCACGATGATGAACGCCACGGACCCGAAGACCGGCCGGAGCTTCACTCAGAAAGATCTCTGGGTTGAATCCATGCTGTTACTGGTAGCAGGTACAGAAACAACCTCCTCCCAAAGCCCTAAAACCCCTCATCATCCCCCCCGAAACCCCCCATAACCCCAGAAACCAATCCAATCTGACCCGAACCCAAAGGCTCCGACACGACCTCCAACGCCCTCAGCGCAACAATCCACTACCTCCTCCACCACCCCACCAGTCTAAAACATCTGACCACGGAACTCCGCTCGACCTTCCCCACCGAGACCAGCATCCGCTTCGACTCCGCCTCCCCGACCACCAGCCCGTACCTGCACGCCTGCGTCAACGAAGCCATGCGCCTGGCCCCGTCCGTGCCCAACGCGCCCCCGCGCGCCGTCTGCCCCGGCGGCATCTACATCGACGGCGACTTCATCCCCGCCGGCACCGTCGTCGGCGCCCCGATCTACACCCTCCACCGCAACGAGGCCTACTTCGACCGTCCGGATGAGTTCCGGCCGGAGCGGTGGCTGGATCTTTCCTACAGCAGCAGCAACAACAACAACAAGTCCCCGGGGTTTTCTGGTCCTTCAGCCGCGGAGCAACACCAGCAGCAGGGAACATCCGCCGCGACGACCACCAAACAAACCCAGGCCTATCAGGCCTTCTGTCCTTTCAGCTACGGGGCCCGCTCCTGCGTCGGCTGGCGTCTGGCCTACACGGAACTCCATCTCGCCGTGGCGCGGTTGCTCTGGCGGTACGATGTTCGGTTAGCGGCGGCCGCTGCGCCGGCTTCGACTTGCTCGCCGAATCGCGGTAAGACGGATTCCGAGTATGAGATGATGGGGTGGGTGGTGGCGGCCGTGGAAGGGCCGGTGGCGCAGTTTCGGAGGCGGGAGGATCTCTTTTGACCGGAGTCGATACATAGACTAGAGTGTATATCATGGTTTTTATCAGTTTTTCAACCAGCTTGGGTGTTCGGAGGATCGATTTGGAGTTCTGTGTCCGTGTTCTCATATATTCTTAATCGTCTTTCTGGTTGTATAGTTGTCAAGAACGGTGAAGATTCAGCGTGGCTGGATATGGAACTGAACTTCCTTACTCTTATCGATGGCCGGATGGCTGGGTTATCTTCTTCCATCTAGCATCTTTTCGTCCTTCCTCTTTTATCTTTGTTTAATAGTTCATTCATAAGATAAGTCATGTTATTATCCAAGAGAGGGAATTTGCGGGGGGTATAAACAATAGAAAGATATCCGATAACACCCGAAACTCCTCAAGTCATCACAACATCCACACCTGAATTCCAACTTGGGGCAACTTTTTCTCTCGTACCCGTACATTCCGACATATAGACCGTGATGAGATGAGAACCAAACCCAAGGGAGACAGAAAAAGAAAAGTGTGCATTCCACCGTCCTAGCCCGTCGTCGCGAAGCATATATTCAGATTTGCCAATATGCACGTGTAGATTATGCAATGATGCCTGAGGCGGAGGTTCCTGTTCCCCAGCGGAGTCGTTTCAGACTGCCCCGCACTGCTTCTTGACCGCAGCCGGTGGCTACTCTACCTCCTGATCCGTCGCCCATCGCTCCAATTCCAGTGGTAGCTTCCAGTCGGCCTACTTCGCGGCCCAGTACGTAACCCGCTGAGAAGCTGATGGCGGAGAACAGCACGACAACTCCCGCGCTGATCACCCACGTCATGACAGTCGGGCTAGCTGTGGGAACGGTTTCCACGGTGCTACCTCGCCGAGTCTTTTTGGCTGAATGACTTCGCTCCTTGGATGGACTTGACCGTCTTTTGGCTCGTGGGGGTGCTTGCGGAACGCTCCGCGGAGAGTATGGCGGAGGGGATAGTCCTGAGCGAGGGGACCGGGCTGCTGCTGCTGCGGTGGGATTCGCCCCTGCCATTTCTTCCTCGCAAATATCCCCCATCGCAACCGATTCCGATACCAGGCGGAAAGATGACGGCGCCGGCGCTCGCGAGGGACCTGGCTGGACTGGCTGCGCATCTGACTTGGGGAGGCCTCGAGCTGCCGCAGCGCAGGAAAGTAATGTGGAAAGGCTGGCCCGGAGAGCAGCATCGTGATCGGCGTGGTGAGATGGAGAGATCATGTTGTATGGACTGTGCTGGTAGGATGACCTGCGCACAGAGCGGATGCTGGCTTGTGAGTTTCGCCGGGCCCTGATGGCCGTCCGTCGACTGGAATTCGACACCTCACTGGGTTCCGCCTGGTGCCGCCTTTCCATAGGCCTGGTCCATGACGGGTCCTGGGATGCCGGCGGATGAGAAAAGACATTTGGCTGAGGAACAAATGGAGATGAGCTGATGCGCATGCCTAGCGCGGTGGAGTTATCGTCGTCATCTTCGTCTGTAGGGACATCGGACGGCAGCGGGGATGGGCCTGTGGGTACCAGAAATGGGTGCGGTCTCTCGGGTGGACGAGTCATATCTTCAGAGCTGCTGAGCACTTGATCGGATTCACTCTCGCTTTCCTCATATTCATCTTGACTGCTACTGTGTTCGCGGGATGAGTAGTCTACTTGAGCTGTGGTGATGGCTGCAAGTTGTTGTAGCCGTCGTCGTCGACTTCGATGATACCGACCGGGACCTTGCTGCTGAACACGGAGACCGGTTGTGATGATATCGTCGTTGGTGCCTGCGGAGGAGAGGGATGAGGATGACGGCTGAGACGAGACCTCGATCCAGGAATCTATATAGTAACGAAGTGAGTACATGATAATGATAATACTGAATATACATCTAAGTGGCGCAAACTGAAGTTGAACCTAGGGATACCAAGGTCTTTGCCGAGTATGCAGGGGCAGAGTAGATATCTGGGGGAGGCCGTGAGGCGATGACGTACCTTCTGATCTCGTGGGGTCGCGGGCAGCGGGAGAACGTGACTGATGAGGAAGTAGATGATCGCGCGCCGACTGATGAAGGTCTCGCGTCAGTCGACCGGGTAATCGAGGGTCTTCATGTTGCACCTGACCCAGCAAGTCATAGTGATTTGGTTGCATGATGGAAGATGTAATAGGGAGAAAAGGAGGGGCAGTAGCGAGGAACCAGACAAGGTCCAGACCGGCTGCCAGAGGCAAGTTGAATGAGGATATATGGAAGAAGAAAAAAGAAAAGGAGGAAGGAGGGGAGGGTGTGAGAAATAAGGAAAGAGAAAATGAAGAGAAAGAAAGAGTGAGAGGTTGAGAAGAAGAGCTAAGGAAATAATGATTTGACAGGAGGGAAGAGGAGAAAGAGGAGAGGGATGATGGGATGGAGGGATGGATTGACTGGAAGCGAGATCCACGGGTGATCCTCAGGCCACGGGGACGGCAGGCGGACCGACCAGTGATGGACAGCGATGAGAGGGAGCGGTCAGTCCCAAAGCGCGGGGTTAATGCAGTACCGTATGAGTTAGTAGTGGATGGATTGAATGGATGGATGGATGGAGGGAGGGAGTGATGGAGCGGGTGGAGTGGTCGATATAGAGTTGATCTTATCAAATGTGGGACTTGACACTCCAACGATCACCCGTGACATAGGTTGCAAGGAATCAAAAAGACAAGAAATAAGAATGACGAGAAGACACACAGAGATGAAGCATTGAGAGAAGAAACACGCGACTTGCACAAGTCTGTGAATGAAGAGGAACGAGGAGAGGTATTGCAAACAAGAATGGGAAGGGAAGGGAGGAGAGTGAGTAAAGAAAAGGAAGGAGGGAGGGAGGACGAGGAGGAGGAAAACAGCCAAACAGTCAACCCATTCAACCAACGTCGCAAACAGTCAGTCAGCATTAGCACTACTACAACTGGAAGTACTGGAATATGGAGAATGGAGCCTGGAGGGGAGGGGAGGGGAGGGGAAGGGAACACGAGGCAGGCCGCATACTGTGATTGATCATCCGACCGCGCACCGTGACTGGCCCACTTTGATAGGCCCATCATTGCAGCAGATCTGCCTGATCCACGATGCAGCCCAGCCAGCCAGAAGAGTTGGCAACAACCAGTTTGCAGTGGACAGTTCAAGGTCGCGCGACGGAGACAAAGCCGACCTCGGAGGGGTTCCCTCGTTCCCTCCCTGCCGCCTACCAGCTCTCTATCAAACAAAGACCTCCTTCATGCGCAACCACGGTACAACCCGGCAAAGTGGACTTCGTAGCAAACAAACAACAGCTGGAAGATTTGAACAATGGAGCAACAAGGATTCATTTTGGTCATGGCCATTCATTAAATTGTTCTATCCTAGATATCACACAAACTATGTTACCGAGGGGGTTATCCTGAAAAACTAAGGAAATGCAGCAAGAACTTTTAAAACATCCTCCGTGAAAAGCAAAAGGAAAAGAAAAAAAAAAAAAAGCCCAGACAATACCCGGTCAAGGCTTGACAAAGATACACCTACGCAAGCATTTAGAAGGTAACCTTAGTTCCCTTGTACTCGGGGATAGAGCCCTTGCCCTTGTTGAAGCCACCGGCACCACCTCCGCGACCGCCGAAGCCGCCACGGCCACCGCGACCACCACCACGGCCACCGCCGCCACGGCCACCGAAGCCACCACCGCCGCCGCGGCCACCAAAACCGCCACGACCACCACCACGGCCACCGCCGTTGTTGTTCTGACGGGGAGTGCTGAAGTCCAGACGGACGGGACGACCCTCAAGCTCGGCTCCGTTGAGCTCGTTGTAGGCCGCGCGAGCCTCGTCAACGGAAGAGAACTGAACGTAACCGAAGCCCTTGGGGCGGCCAGACTCGGCGTCGGTGGGCAGACGGATGCCGACAATGGTACCCGAAGCGCCGAAGAGCTCACCAACGGAGTCCTCGCTGGCACTGAAGGGAAGGTTACCAATGAACAGGGTGTCGCTCTCGGGGCTGGCCTGGTCGCCGAAGTTGCGGGCACGGTTCTCGGCACGGTCGCGGGGAGCACCCTGGTTGTTGGCGGGACGGCCGGTGGCATAGTCGAGGTTGATGGTACGGCCATCGATCTCAGCGCCCTTCTTGGCCTCGTAGGCCTTAGCAGCATCAGCAGCGTTGGTGAACTCAACGTAACCGAAACTAGGATACATGATTAGCGACGACCCAGAATACCAAAGGTGGAATGGAATGCTTACCCGCGAGAGCGGCCAGTCTCACGCTCAGTCATGATGCGGCAGCCAGAGAGCTCACCGAAGCCCTCGAACTCGCGCTGGAGCCACTCCTCATCGACGTTCCAGGACAGGTTGCCGACGAAGAGGTTGGCAGAAGCACCCTCAGCGGGCTCCTCGACCTTGGTCTTCTTGGGGGTAGCGGCGCTCTCGTCCTCGGCCTTGCGCTTCTTGGACTCCTTGGGAGACTCGTCGCTCTCCTCAGACTCAGAGTCGGAGGAGTCGGAGTCGGAAGAGTCAGAGTCGGAAGATTCCTACGTAATGTTAGCATGAGATGATTGTCAAGATCGATTGGTGGGTGATGCGAACCTTCTCAGCCTTCTTCTCGTCCTCAGACTCGGAGTCAGAGTCGCTGTCGCTGTCGCTGGACTCCTTGGTGGCCTTCTTGGGGGCCTCGTCCTCAGAGGAAGAGTCAGAGTCGGACTCGGACTCGGACTCAACCTTCTTCTCAGCCTTCTTAGGGGCCTCCTTCTCGGACTCGGACTCAGAGTCAGAATCCTCAGACTCGGAAGACTCAGAGTCGCTGGATTCCTCCTTCTTGGAGGCCTTCTTGGTCTCCTTCTTGGCAGGCTTCTCATCCTCGCTCTCACTCTCGCTCTCGCTGCTGGAGGCATCCTTCATGTCCTCATCGCTGTCGGAGTCAGAGTCGGACTCGGACTCGACCTTCTTAGCAACCTTCTTGGTCTCCTTCTTAGCGGGCTTCTCATCCTCACTCTCGCTGCTAGAGCTAGAGTCAGAGTCCATCTCCTCATCGCTGTCGGACTCGGAGTCGGAGGACTCAGAGGGAGTAGGCTCCTTCTTCTTCTTGGAAGACTTCTTCTCCTTGGTCACAACAGCCTTGGCAATCTGCTTGCTCTTGGACTTGGGGGACTGAGCAGCCTTGCTCACACCGGCATCCTTGACCTTGCTCAAGGCCTTGTCAACGGGCTTCTCACCCTTCTTGGAAACGGACTTGGTCTTAGACATTTTGAATCTGGGGATAGAAAGAATGGTTGGTTAGTGAGAAGAGGTGAGGAAGGCGGATGGGTCGATATATGAGAACCCAGGTGGAGACATACCAGATAAAATTGATCACAAAGAAACTTCTTGTGCGGCAAAAATTTTCTTGAGTCCCACAAATCACCCGATTTGATATAAGAACAGCCCACTGATTGCTTTCGCAAATACCCACAGGTAACCCACAACTGACAGTGTTCAAGCCCACACGAGTAAGACAGGAGAAACGCTACTGTCTATGATATGAAACCCACGGAAGTATCCAACAGATCCCACAGAATAGAACGTAGTATGTTACAACCCACAGCCCTCAAGGTAAAAAGCCCACAGGATGTCTGTTACGGTGTACCTAGTAAGATACAGCTGAGTAAGTCAAGAAGTAGATGGAGGAGAGTCAAACGATTGTTTGAATCTCAAAAGAGGAATGATGATGATGATAAACGGGATGAAGAGAAGTGAGAGGATGAAGAGTGAAGGGGGGAGGAGAAGAAAAAGAAGAAAATTTCTACTGCTGGGAGCTCCGATAAGGCGGCCGGGGGGATAAAAAAAAATTCGACTAGTTGCAAAACTGGAGACAGGCAGAAAAAATCAACAGGGGCTACCGCCTGCGCTCCTGGTCTTAGTCGAGGTACTTGGACCCACCGGCCACACCGCATGCATCGCTGACTAAGCGCGCCTTGCTCCGGTGCCTGTTGGCCTCGGCCCTCGACAGACACAGACAACAAAGGGATACAAGATAATTGGTGATTTGGTGATCCCTTGCAATAGTACGAAAAGAGCTCAATTAGTCTGCTCAGCTTCATGGAACTTGACAGCTTCTGGTAGTTTGAATTAAGAAAAAGCCAGTTTCCTACTCCCTACTGTCTCTGTAAAACTGCCAAGGTACGGAGTAGCGAGCTACAGTACCTACTGAAGACGGAGGTAATTCCTAAATCCGCCCACCGCCCTCGTTGAAGCAACAGAGTGTCATTCCCCGGAGCTGGTCCACTCCCGTCTGTACCACGTACCATCCCGGCTACTGCAGTTCTAACTACTCCTGACCTTGCTCTTCCCTCTCTGCGTGCACCGTTATTGCACTTGCACTCCAACACAGACGGATCGCATCGGATCAATGGTCTACTTCTAGACTCACTCTAGTCTAAAATTGCGGCAATGGCTCCTCCATCCTCTTATCGCCCGCGGAAGAAGAGAAAGTTCCCCTCGTCATACACGGGCTCCAACAACTCTCTCATTGCCGAGTTAGGCGGCAAGTCGTCTCCCGCCTTTCCTCTGGTTTCATTCCTGTGGTCCGCTCGGGCAGGTGTTTCTCAATGGCTTGTTCTCCCTCTTGTTCTGATGGCTGTCGGCCTATTCCGTTGGGCAGTTAGTCTATGGGGGTATTCTGGTACGTCGCTGAGCGTCTCGAACACATCAATCCCCAAGACTAATGGCGACAAGGCTTCCAGGTACCCCCGATGCACGGTGACTTCGAGGCGCAGCGACACTGGATGGAAATAACCACTCATTTGCCCATGGCAAAGTGGTACTTGTATGATCTACAATACTGGGGACTGGACTATCCTCCTCTGACGGCATATCACAGCTGGCTGCTGGGGAAACTGTAAGTGACTGGAGGGTCAAAATCACCTTCTCTGTGACTAACTTTATATAGTGGAACTGCCATTGACCCGAGCTGGTTTGCTCTTGATCAGTCTCGCGGGCTTGAAGATCCTCTGTTGAAGGTCTTCATGCGCGGTACGGTAGTGGCTTCCGAGTATCTTGTCTTCATCCCGGCCGTGGTCAACTTCCTGCGCCGCTACACTCGGATGCAAAATGTGCCTGTCTGGTCTGCTTCGATTGCGCTTGTCGCAATTCTACTTCAACCCGCGACTATTCTCATCGACCATGGTCATTTCCAGTACAACACGGTGATGCTGGGGCTCGTCGTTGCGAGCTTGGATGCCATCCTGGCGGGACGCATGCTCTGGGCTTGCATCTTCTTCGTGGGCGCCCTCGGCTTCAAGCAGATGGCCCTGTATTATGCCCCCGTTTTGTTCGCCTTCCTCTTGGGCGTGTGCATTTTCCCGAAAATCCGAATCCTCCGCCTTCTTTGCATTGCGCTTGTAACACTCGTGGCATTTGCGGTTCTCTTCGGCCCCTTGGTAATCGGCGCGATCGGTGAAGAGGCACGAGAGATCCTGGCTTCGGCTCCGCAGCCTCCTCTTCTGCAGCAGCTCCCGATCGATCTCGATAAGCATTCCGTGCTCTACGCAGTCGCTTTCCAATTGACGCAGATCATTCATCGTGTGTTCCCGTTTGCCCGGGGTCTGTTCGAGGACAAGGTCGCAAATGCTTGGTGCGCCGTCCATACGTTCTACAAGCTTCATCGTTTTGAAGCCAGTCTCCTTCAGCGCATGTCCCTTGGCGCCACCTTGGGTTCGATCTTGATTCCCTGCATCCTTATCTTCCGCCATCCGCGCGCATCACTTCTGCTCCCCGCACTCTCAAGTGTTGCTTGGGGCTTCTTCTTGTTCTCCTTCCAGGTGCACGAGAAGAGCGTGCTGCTTCCTTTGCTCCCGATGACACTGCTCCTGGCTGGAGACGGAGGTCTCAGCAAGGAAACGCGGGCGTGGGTTGGATGGGCCAACATTCTCGGCACGTGGACCATGTACCCTCTGCTCAAGCGCGACGAGCTCCGGGTGCCGTATTTCGTCATGACCCTGCTCTGGGCCTACCTGATGGGTCTGCCGCCAACCTCGCTCGAGGCCTATCGTAGCCGGGATTCGTCCGAGGACAGTGCGGAACCTCATGTGCTCACCAAACTCGTGCACATCTGCTTCTACCTTGCCATGATCGTATGGCATGTCGTGGAGGCTTTCGTGCCTCCTCCCTCGGACAAACCCGACCTGTGGGTGGTATTGAACGTGCTCATCGGAGCCGGCGGGTTTGGACTGGCCTATCTATGGTGTGTGTGGAAGTTGATCCAGCAGTGCCGGAAGATTGACCAGAAGGTAGCGGAGGAGACTCAGAAGAAGAATCAGTGATCTAAGGTGGACCCATAGACGCGGTGCCTTCCATATACCATTTGTCATTCTATAGTGATACCCCAATGCCATTTCCGTGGGCTTGCCATGTGCATGGCTCTGACACTAACCCTCGTCCATGCCAGTTATTGTATGTACACCAAACAAAGAGCAATGATTTGATTTTACTTGCTACTCTTTCAAAGCAGACACTACGACCTTGAAAAATCACTAACACAACCACAACAAGACATGTACTGCATAAGGGGAGATGATAATAAAGCAGCCGCCCAACGAAGAACATTCAAGCAAAGAAAACAAGATCGATCTAATATACAAGACCACAGCAAATCAAAAAACCCCTCGGAGAAAACAAAGCCTCCCACAACCCAAACTCCAGGATATGTTGCATGCGCTCTTTCTCCTTCTATGTACTGACTGTACTGTACTGTACCCCCCCAAAAAAACAATTAAAACAACCCATATGTTATACAATCGCAGAGTCGAGGAAGTTCTCCCCACCCCAGAAACATGCCAGCAGGAACCCACTCCCTGAACAACAGCCACGGCGGCGGGGTTCTAGACCTTGAACCCATACCCGGCCATGCAGGCCTTGTACTGATCAATCATCGACTTGCATTCCTGGGTGGGATCGTCGGTCTTGGAGAAGAGCATGCAGTCGTCGCGGGCGGTCTTTTCGGTCTTGCAGACGCAGCAGGGCTGTTTGTGTGGGGGTTGGGTTAGCTTTCTCGGTTTTTGGGTCTGCATTTCGAGGAGAAAGGTGCGGTGGTTTTTCGATGGGAGCGGACGGGTGGTGCGACTGACCTTGGGCTTCTCGGCCGGGGCGGATTCGGTGGGAGCGGCGGCGGCGGCGGGAGCGCTCTCGGCTGTGTTTGCGCAAACGGAGGGATTGGTTAGTTCCAATTGCGTGTTGGGTATGGGGTGAGGAGCTGTGGGAAAGGGAAGATTGAAGATTGAAGATTGAAGGGCTGCGGATAATCGCGGGAATTGACTTACGCTTGGAGGAACCGAACAACCAGGACATACTGAAGAATGAAGGTTCTGGATATATGGGCGCAGAATGAGCGGCTGGATTGAGGAGGGAGTGAAAGAATGCAACGGAGCAAAGAGTGAGTGAGTGAGTGAGTGAGTGGGTAGTGGGACAATTGGCAACGATGAGGTTAACTAGCTCATTAACTTAAGCAGACCGAGGACTGCTGATTAATGTGATAATTGAAGAAGATGATGCGATGGGTTCGGAATGGCGTTGTTGGTCGGTAGGACTTGCCGGAGCGGCGATCGGGGAAAATTTGCGGGCAACGAGCCGGTTGTCAGGGAAGCAGGGGGGAAAAAAGGCGGCGGCGGGCGGGCGTGCGCATCATCACACTGCACTCACTCACTGCATTCTGCATTCTTTTGTTCTTTCCCCTTCTTCCCCTTCAATTTCATTATCTTCCCACACCACACACACACCACAACAATTTCCATCACATTCATTCCTCCCTTTCTTTTCTTTTAAACTTTTCTACTTACTGGCTTGGACAGTGATCTTGCGCTTCCTTACGTCTGTCTTTCTGACGATCCTTTCCATCTGTACTTCTTGACTGCTGACCTTTTTTCAACCCCCTCACCCCCCCCTGAAATTTAATTTACCCCGCCATGGCCCCTCCTAAGGTCTTTTCGCTTGAGGGCAAAGGCCTCAAGCTGGACACCGCTGAGGACATTGAGACCCATATCAAGCCCTTGTTGGAGAGCACCGACTACACTGAGATCCGCTTTGGAGGAAACACCCTGGGGGTCCCCGCCTGCGAGCGCCTCGCCGCCGTGCTGTCCACCCAAAAGAGCCTCGAGGTCGCCGAGCTGGCCGACATCTTTACCTCGCGTCTGCTGAGCGAGATCCCCGACGCTCTGACCTTCCTCCTGAACGCCCTTCTCGAGATCTCCACTCTCCACACCGTTAACCTGTCCGACAATGCCTTCGGTGCCAACACTCAGAAGCCCCTCGTCGACTTCCTCGCCCGCCACGTGCCCCTCCGCCACCTGATCCTGAACAACAACGGTATGGGCCCCGAGGCCGGCTCCAACATCGCCAAGGCCCTCACCGAACTCGCTGAGCGCAAGGAGGAGGCTCGCAAGGCTGGCAAGGAAGTGTCTCTCCTGGAGAGCATTGTCTGCGGTCGGAACCGCCTGGAGAACGGCAGTATGGCTGCCTGGGCACGTGCCTACGAGGTGCACGCTGCCGGCATGCGCTCCGTGAAGATGACCCAGAACGGTATCCGCCAGGAAGGTATCTCTTTGCTGCTGAAGGAGGGCCTTAGCCACTGTAAGGCTCTGGAGGTCGTCGATCTTCAGGACAACACTTTCACCGTTATGGGTTCGACCGCTCTGGCCGGTGTTCTGGGCAACTGGGCCTCTCTTCGCGAGCTGGGTGTCAGCGACTGCTTGCTCTCGGGCCGTGGCGGTGTCAAGGTTGCCCAGGCCCTGGCTGAGGGTAAGAACGAGAAGGTGCAGACCCTGCGTCTTCAGTACAACGAAATCACGGCCGAGGGTGTCAAGCAGTTTCTCTTCGCGACCAAGTCTGGTCTCCCCGCCCTGCGCCGTATCGAGCTGAACGGTAACATCTTCATGGAGGATGATGACAACGTGACTGAGCTGCGCGAGATCCTCGAGGCTCGCAAGGAAGAGCACGGCTCCGATGAGGACCCTGAGGAGATGTGGGGTATTGACGAGCTGGACGAGCTTGAGGAGGAGGAGAGCGAAGAGGAAGAAGAGGAGGAGGAGGAGGAAGAGGAGAAGGCCGAGAAGCTTCTCAAGGACACCGATCTCGCTGAGAACGAGAAGGTCGCCCAAAAGGAAGACAAGGATGTTGACCAGCTGGCCAGCCTTCTGGGCAAGACTGGTCTTTAAAGTCGGACAGTTGTTCAGCCTTCCACCTACCCTTCTCGCCCCCCCCTACTGACACACTATACACACATCCTCCGTTTTTGTCGCATATCCAACCCATACCAGTCAGTGAATCGGCAGTGACTTTTCCGGTGCCGGGAACCCGACGCATGGCTGTCCCGACTATGACACGGTGCAAATCAGCACCGCCTCGTCATATCCAGCAGGAACTTAGCATGGAGGATCTTATCCTCGACATACCCATCTAGTCGACACGCCTGTTGGAGATTGCCCGAGCAATCCTCAACCGTGAGGCCTGCCACAGATCACCTGACGCACATCTTGGATAGCATATTGCCCCAACCTTTTCTTGCTTTGATGTTGCCATCACACAGCTTATACCCGTTGGAGAGCATTAGACCTAGACAAGAATTTTAGCAACAGCTAAAAGATTCCATGCGTTATTGCCCTTATGATGTATATAAGAGTTTGATGAATAAGAAGATTATCTGATACGATCATCTGTTCCACGACGCCAGTATAGATGTTGCTTAACCTTCCATCATCAGGACCTGTTCCCCATTCGGATGTTTCCTTATTCTCCTGATGTCGGCGTATTAGTGCCCCGACTTGCAAGTGCTCCATTTGACTTATCTGGGGCTGTTCCTCGCGGTTTCTAGGGGAAATCCGACACCGGCGTTGCGAGGTCTCAGCTCGAGTATTTCGCCGCTCAAAGCGAACAGAACGCTACCGCCAAGCGTTCTACAGGTTGCGTGTTAGAAGGATCAGTAACCGTTTGGTCTCTTTTGAAGCTCCTTTCGAAGCACTCGAAGCAGAAAGCGGTGAGACCTGCCTGGTAGCTGGGTTGTTCTGCCACCGCTCCGCATTGACTGAATAGTGCCAAAACACTCCTGTAGATAGGGGTCCACGATCTAATCCCGGGATATAGCTCATTAAACAGGACTAGGTCAGGGTATAGGCTGCCCGCTCCTTGGGACTTTCCTTCCAATCACAGGCTGATCTGCATCTATAAACAGGTTAAGGTTGAGGCTCTGACAGGTTTGCCTGCTCGGTCTCTGCAACGGCCTTTCCGCTTAGTCATCGGATGCTCTCTGGTCTCCGCCTTCCGGAACCGAACTATAGCCATCAGCGTCGCCCCCCTAACGAGCTTGGCTGAAATAGAATAAATAGTGCCCATGATCTCTCAGGATGAAGAGCTCCCGTGCTTTGATCCTAGCAAGGAACAGCTTGGTGCCGAAGGTTGGACAGCCTGCAACCTGAAAATACGACCATGAGCACTCCGCCGGCGCGGCCCTCTCACCAGGATGACTGGAGACAGCACTGGAAGAGCTTCCTTGTATCAGTGGGGATGAGCTTTCTGCTCCTACAGCTTCTCTTCCTGGGCAATATGTCCTACCTGTACGGGACGCAGTATCGAGACAGCGAACGAATCCATCAATTGAAGCTCCTGTACGTCGATTTCGACGGCGACATCATCGGCCAATCCGTCCTCGACGCATACGGAGCCCTGCAGGGCGCGACCTTCCCTACTTTGCACCAGGCATCCACCGAGGACTTTTCATCTAGTCAGGATGTGCGCAACGCCGTCTGCCACGGGGACTACTGGGGGGCTATCTACGTCAACGCGGGGGCCACTGCGCGGCTGGCAGCATCACTGTCTGGGGACGCAGACAGGAGCAGCAGCAGCAGCAACACCACCGCAACCAGCGCGCTGACCTACATCTGGAACGGAGCACGGTACCCCGCGTTCGCGCAAAGCGCCATCTACTCCAACCTCCTCACGCTGATCGAAGCGACGCGGTCGACGTACTACGCGCGGAACGCGTCCAACGTCCTCCAAACCCTCCTCGCCTCCTCAGCATCAACATCAACCGCACTAACCGCCTTCCTCGACCCCATCACCGCGACGGAACACAACATCAAAGCCACCGCGCAAGGCGGGCGGGTCCTGTACAACACCGTCTCGATCATCATGCCGATCATCCAGCAGTTCTTCTTCATGATGGCGCTGAACGGGCTGTCGGCGCAGTTCCAGCTGTTCACGCGGCTGACGCCGCGCGCCAACGGCCTGCTGCGGCTGTGCATCTCGGGGTGCTACACCTTCGTGGGCGCCCTGTGCATGGTGGGCTACATCTGGGCCTTCCGCGAGTCGTGGGCCGTCTCGGCCGGCCAGTTCGTGCTCTGCTGGATGGCCGTCTGGCTGTACATGCACATCAACTTCCAGATCGTGGACGTGCTGACCACCTACGTGCCCATGCAGTTCATGCCCTTCTGCATCCTGACCTGGGCGATCCTCAACGTCGCCAGCACGGTCAGCCCCTTCGAGATGCAGCCGGGCTTCTTCCGGTGGGCGTACGCCCTCCCCGCGCACGAGCTGTACCAGGTGCTCGTGCAGATCTGGAGCGACGGGTGCGAGAATCAGTTGCGCACCGCCTTGCCCGTCTTGTTCTCGTGGTGGGTCGTCGGGGCGGGGACGGCCATCGTCGCGACACATCGGAGGTGTCGGGTTGCTGCTGCTGCCGCAGTGGGTCATGAGAAGAGTCTCGAGGGTACTATGGCGGATGGAAAGGCGGAGTCTGTGCGGACAGGGTCGAGTACGCAGGGGATCTTGCCCAGTCGTGAGACGGAGAGACGGAATACCATTGAGATGGAGCGGTTGGAGAGTGCGGCGTATGGGCCGCGGTATCCCACTCCGATGGTGAATGGGGATGGAGGGAGGTAGATATTGGGGGTGTTTCTAGTCTTGAATTGATTTGCGTTAAGTTTGTAGTATCCCTCAATTGACGTGCTTCGAGCTTGCCGGACCGATTACACATAATGAACGGCATATCCAGCCTGGATCGAAAGACAATCGAAGCTATCCCAGCCTCCTGCAGGCACCAAGCGGAGGAATCACATCCTTCAGCGCGAGGGACACCAACTTAGGTAGTCCTAAATTCTCTACCCAGTCATGATGGTGCACGCACCGCTCTTGAAGTCATGTCCCTCACTCACCCCAATACCGGATATCATCGACACACAGCACACAAGCAAACAGCGGGATCTGTGGTCATCGTCAGCTGCAGTCGTTGTTTGCATAGGCTGTACGCCGATCATAAATCTATCTTCGAGAGACCCTACACCGTTACGTTGCATAGATCTTCAGTCAAAGGAGAGTGACTAACTAGTCAAAGCCAGACAGACCGAATGGACAGAGGAGAGAGGCATCAATCACATGATATCCTTCCTACTCGGAGTTCCAACAACCTACAAATTACCTTGCAGCAAACCACTGCTTCAAAACAGCACTCCCACTGGACCGGCCGGGGGGTCTAGTCATCAATAGAGAACAGAACCCTATACTATACCTGGAGCCATATACC